GGCTCATAATCGATTACGAATCGTCCTGCAAATGCAAAGAGACGCAGGGAGAAAGAAGACAAAGTGAAATGCTTTCACAAAGCACGCGAATGTAGACTCGCCGGTAACAAACGTGTTCGTTGAGCGTTCGTGTGAGCCTTTTGATCCCTATTTTCATCGCTGTTTCGACGGCAGAGGATGCGCGCTAACTAGATTTCCCGAATCCTCTCGTTTCATCGTATTTCCAATCTCTTTCGACGAGATATGATTCACAGCGAGGGTTTTAATTGTCGATAGAAAATTGTTTTACCCACCTGGCTGTGAATCCTCTGGGAGAGTCGATATGGACGGCTGCCTGAAATAATACGGCCCAGACCAGCCAGTACGTCCGACAGAAGGAGAACCGATGATTGGGCGATGGATTCTTCTGCAATCAAGCAAAAATCAGCCACGCTCGGACCCAATTTGACCCACTTGTACAATGTAACAACAGCGACAACGTTGCAATAATAAGAAAATATTCCAGTCTACTACACAATGGATTCAGATTGTTCAGAGAGAGTCGTGCAAGAGGTGGGTAACAAGGTTAAATAAAAGCGAGTGATAAGAAGATATTGTGTTAGGATGCAGTGTGATTATATTTTGTGATAGGATAAGATACTATATTTATTGCAGGAAGGTATTTCGAGTTGATTTGGTGAATCTTGTGGCATTCAATGTTTATTGATCTGATAAGTCTTTATTCTGTTGCAGAAAATTTCGTGTACGTGTACGTGTAATTTGGTTTGGGTAATACCTTTTCTTCGGGTGATATTTTGAGTTACTTAGTATAATCAGAGATTTATTTTCGCTAAATTTGAAATTTTTTACTTTTCGCGCGAATTAATGAGGATTAAATCCGTGAAAGAATGGAAATATAATATGAATTAATTTTCAAAGATTGAAAATTTTATTTCAACTGAAGATAATTTGAATCAAGAAGCTTTGACTCTTCGGAAAGAGGAACAAATTCTACAGCTAAATATAACTTTGGAAATTAAAAAATTGTATAGTAATTTTAAAATAAGTGCCAGGGATCGAAAATAATTTACAGCGAACACGTGTAAAACACTCCAAATATTTGTAAGAAAATTTAGAAAGATACAAATCACCTTTGAAAGCTAGCATGAATCTCAGGAATTAAAAATAGTTGGCGAAGAAGAAGTAAATCTTCTTTATCTCTCTTCGCAAAGTGAAAAATTGTATACTCTTCGCGCACAGAAAATTTACAATCGAATGACATCGTCGCTATAAATTGTAGGTTTCATTGACTAGCGGAAGAACGAGACGATGTTTCTCTCTCTCTCTCTTTTTTTTTTTTTTTTTTTTTTTTGAATGAAGAAACTGCGTAGCATTATCGCGAAAAGTGTTGTCCTACGATCAATCTCCTTTTTCTCGATGCAGTGTCAAAGGGGTAGAGTGTCATTAAGATTAATGGTGTTGTCCCGGCGTGATAATTTGCTCTATGGGGATTTCGTGCTCCGAAGGCAAGAAAACATACATAACTAATAAGAAGCGAAATTAATAGTACCAGTTTCCGCGCAGCGTCTGAAGGGTTTACCTTCATGTTGAAACCAGATGGTGACAACCATTCGAACAGCAGTATCATGATCGTGGCCGCGTGTATGGCGACGATACCAACTAACATCCATGAGGCGGTGTCGAATGGTTCTGCAAACCATAATGACGCAATTGTCCTTCATTACGTGGAATGTACTGATCTGATGTGTTGTACGAATCAGAAGCCACACTGATCGACACCGTAAATTGAAAAGCTGGGAGGCCAGACTGCGGATCTTTGTACAGTTATAATAAATTTTGAAATGTGAAAAAATATATAAAACGCCCAAGTTATATCACGGTTTTTATAACATTTATCATATAAAATAATTTTAGACTTTTTATGCATTTTCAAATGCAAAATTGCACGAAAATGGACATGATATGAAAAGATGTACAAAATACCCAAATTATAGTGTTTTTCGAGATCCTACATTTTTACTTACGCTTTTAAAAATACGATTTCGCATCAAGTTTAATGATGATGTTACAAATATTATTTTGTGACTTTTAACTGTTGTTATTGGATATTAAGGATCGTAAGAATGTTTAATTTGGAATTTTGTGTCACTTAATTTCTAAATTGTTCATTACGGTGAGTTTTTGCAATTTCAAAAGATTGTAATAGTCACCTAATGCTGTTTATTTTTTGAAACTTACGTATCTGTTTATATAATATAATGAAATCGAGAAACTGATAATGATAGAAAAGTGAAATCGATCAATTTACCTTTCTTATATTTATTATTAATGTCTACATCAGTGTATTACGAATATGCAAGTTATCATTTGTTAAAAAGAATAAGATGTTGGTGTGTGGAAGATGAATTATATTAGTTAATTGTCGTTGTACTAAATGTTTGTACTAAAAGCTATAGAAAATAATCAGTTACAAATTAAAATACACTTTTCGTTCTGTCAGTTCAATTCAATTCAGTTAAACAATCTAATTGAAACTTGCGAAAGATCCATTTGCTAATCTAATTTGCGAGTTGATGCGATGCAGCATTAATACCATCTTGCGTCACGTAATAACACGGTCGGAAACCACTATATTTGAAGAGCATTCTGCACGAACAGCGTAGTCAATTTCTAGAATCGATCGGCGTTTACCTAAAATTCTCTGTCGCGCAATTACATTACTTAAATATCACCTCTGCTGAATTTCCAAAATTTTCACGGTCGAACGATTTCTGAAAATTCACGGGCATTTTAATTGTAAAAAGCTGAGAAAAAGTCTTCGTCAATCCGATTAACAAATATCGTTTATTTTTATCTTTGGTGAATAACGTAACGTGCGAAGAGATTTCTTTCGCGAACCATTAAACGTTTAATAAGGCTTTACCAAGGCCACTTACCAAGGAAGGCAGTGGGAGATATTATACCAGTCCTTTTCGCCACAACAATGGCGATACCGGTCTCCATGTACGGTACCGTGAAATCAACCACGGCTTCTCTTTCAGCATTAATCATCAAAGATGTCATCACCATGTCCGTTTTCCGATTCACCAGGTCGGCTATCAAACCGTTCCACTTTCCATTCTATAAATAAAACAGCGCATATTCCATTTCATATAATCACAAACACGAATTCCAATCGAATTCAATTAACATATTATATTCTAACTCAAAATTTACGAAGAATTGTTCTACTGTGGAACAATCACATCACAATATAGAGATATTACAAAATTAAAAAATTTACACACTTTTTTTTATACTAATTCATATTATTTGGCTATCTTGAGGATTTTAATTTTTTAATAGATCATTTGATCATTTGACCATTCGATTATCAATAATAAATACCTTCTATCTAATCTAAGACCTTTTTAATAAAGTGTTAGTGACTCTTATATATGCACATAAAAGATATACAGACGTTTAATTTTCAAAGTTGTGTCACACGAAATGTATAATTATCCACATAGGAGACGCTTGCACAGTTAAATGTGCGCAATGAAAGAGGAACGCTAGCTCGCGAACACTTTGTAACGTCGATTGTTCCGTGCTTGCTGTAGACTTTAGATTAACGAAAAGGATCGCAATTCCGCGTGAAATTGCTATGCAGTCGTTTCATCGATACTGTTGCCAGGTATTAAAACTTAAAAGCTTGGATTAAACGGGATCCACTGTATCGACGTAGCTCGACTTTCAAGACGTTCCCCTCTCGCCATTTTCGCGTACATTGGAACTAATCTCCTGTCGTTCACTCGGATCAAGATTTCATAATTGATTTTATAGAAGTTGATCGCTTTATGTATATTAACTCTTCTCTGGAAGTATTCTCTCCTTGCAAAATTAATTATCCAATCGGACAAGAGTCTAAAATTGATTATCATTGTTGAACGTTTTTTTCTTTTTTCTTTTTTCTTTTTAAAAGATCTTGAATGTACCTATATTTTATGCATTTTACATGATGCATTCTATGAAATTTTTAAACTAACTAAACGTAAATTATGTTTATATATATTACGTTTGCGAGGTATATGATGCACATATGAAAATATTATGTGAAAAGATCACAGAATATATGAGTAATAAATAGGAATAAGTATTGCTAATTTTTGTTGCATTAGAATATAAATCTAATTATTATTAAACTAGAATCATTATCTTTTAACTAGTCTAAGAAATTCAATTTAGTTTATTACCAAATAATGAGTCTATTATTTAATTTGGTTATTAATACTTATACAACAAAATATACATTTATTTCGATAATTTGTGTAAAATATAAATATTTTATAATTGTAACATTCGTCAGTCCAATTATTAATATCTCATGCAATTTTACAACTGACACATATTTCGATCATTTCCAACATTCAATTCATCTTCTTTAATTAGTAATTTTTCATTTAAATTTATTCTTATAGCACCGCAACACTTTATGTTTCATGATTTAAACAAATCTTTTGTATTTCTTTCATATATCCCACAATATTTTATATTTTCTATATTTGAGAAAATACGATACTTCTATACTTATTTAAACAAATGCTCTACATTTTTTCATATATACTACAGTATTTCATATTTCCTATCCTCCTATATTTGAAAATATATACTTCTATATTTTCACTTTACATTCTACAAAAACTAAAACTCCATTTTCATCGGAGAATAATAATTGTCGTTATCAGAGAAGGATAACTGTTCATCGGATTAAACTCATTATGACCCACCTCTAGCGTGCCCCATTTCCCGTCTTCGACTCTAACAAGCTCATAAGTGAAGCCGATCTCCTCGGAGAACTTTTGAAGCAGGTCGATGCAGAATCCGCTGCAGCATTGATAAACGCTTTCATTCTTCTGCGCCGATTGAATGTCCATCCTGAAAAACGACATACAGCGGTAACATCGTGGTCCACTTGCTCACAGCCACGTTTTATTGCTCTCCTCTTTCATACAACGGCGGAACGATCGTTCTCCGATCATCCGTACGGTGGATTACTTTTTCAGAATCTACCGAGAGCATGACAAAGAGGAGGTTGGTTTTTCGTATTAGGTTGTCACGAGTAATGGACGTACTGACGATACGTTGCAATTTCTGACAATTCGTTCTTCGTTTTTAAGACGAAACGTGGGCGGTTTTAAGAAGAAAAATACATATTTGTTTTAATAAAAGAAAGAGAATTGGCTAGCGTAAATACTCAATTTATATTTATATTGCTATATTAAGATTCTTTTTTATGGAGTTGTATTTGATATACAAAATATATGTAATTTAGTTTGATATTTATAATATATTTCGATATTTTTCTTTCATTTACTTAAGACAACTAACGTGCAATTAGAAATCTAATAAAATTTCATACATTTTATCCTACATATATTAATATTTATTTAATGAATTTCTTACAAATATTTATTCAATAACTTTACTTAACGAGCTGTCGTTAATCTTTACTAAACGTACTGTCGTTGATGTGAAATTTTGAAAATTTTGAAAATCAAATCGCGCTAGAAGTTACATTTAAAAATAAATTAAATGCAAAGATGATTATATACTTCAGATATGAGAGACTCACAAAAAAAAAAAGAAAAAAATATTTTTGTGTAAGATAATCTTAACGTTGTTGAATTTACCCGATTTCCGTTTATACCGTGATTGAAACAATTGGATTAACGTCGCTTCTGACCAAGTCGTGCAATCTGGTTGAATGCGAGTCGGATGGTTTACCCTGGTCACATCTGCGCGTGACAAACCCGATGCTCTTCGTGTATTGTTCTCGTAGCTGGTGAATAACACTCGTTTTACGTGTGCCATCGAACACGCATTGTTAGGCCAATCGACTCGAAGCTTTATATTTTAGATGCTGGCATCCGGTCAAAACAATAGTCTCGGCGAAAATAAGGAGAAATTAGAATTAACTTGTTGGTGCTCGTTCGGACAGACCACAATGAAGCCTTATTCAGTCAAATGTTCGTTAAATTATCAAGGCAAAAATT